GAGAGGGCACCGGCCGAGCGAGTGGCGGTGGATGTCGGGATCACATGGGTGTGTGCGTGTGTGTTTGTGTGTGTAATTAAAGAGCAGTGGCAGCAGGGGGGGACCTGTGTTCGAAAGGGTCACCCGGGTGAGCAGCAGGCCGTCGGCAACCTATGGTCATTAACTACCGACACTGCCAATAAAGGCTTTGGCGAGTGCGTGCGTTTGCGTGGTGTGTGTGTGTGTGTGTGTGGAAGGACTCACTAAATGACATTCTATCAATACTTGTATGACTCAGGTGATATAAATTCACGTTATCTTAACTATATAAAGGGAACTCAGAAGTATTGCATCGTATAGAAAACCCTCATTTAATTTGAGCAATTTAGAAAAGTAGATTTGTATACATTATTCTGACTCGCGAGTAAAAAAATTTATACTTCACCCGAGTATCCAAAACTTGCGGACGCAAATCCGACGACACGACTAATTTTAAAAAGAAATGAACCGTTGTTAAAAATTTTCAGGTGTACGTAACATTCAAAATGTTATTGGCTGGGAGAAGCCATTTTGACTGAAAGTTTGAAGTTGTCAGGGATGGTTCCTTGCCCATTTTGAAAGCTAGTGAAGATGACATCCCCTTGACATTTGGAAGTAAACACACGCGATGTGAGCATGCTTCAAAGAAAACATCTCTGTAGCGGACCATCACAAACATTAATCCATTCGACCCCACTCAGGTGGTACAGTAGCACACCTGCATTGTATGTGTCCTGTATTATGCGTGTCCTTCTCTGCAGTCTACCGCTCAAATCAAAATCAAGTTTACTGGCCTTGTCGTCGTTCCTGTTTTCATCTCGTTCTGTGAATGGATGTGTGGAATTATTTTGTCAGCTCGGGTAGTATTGTCAGAGCAGCATGTACTTCATGACCCCTGGGAGGCATGCAGTGAACCACCGACCACGCGTGGAAATCCACCCATTCACAATTTGTTTCTTTTTTTGTGGGAAACATAAAAAAGAAATCATAAAACATTTTTTATTCCCTTTTTCATCTTGCCTGAAAATGCTGCAAGAATTTGCCAAAGCCCTCGACAAAAGAAAAACATTAAATGGTGTCAAGGAAGTCAAACCTCAAATCACCTTTCCCTACTAAAATGAATGGAAATGCCATTATTCCGTTCCAGTCTCCCCACAAAAAACAAACCCAAAAGTTGTCTTTTTTTTTAATGAGAAAAAAATATCACTCAATGCTATTGTACTTTCTAAAAATATACAGCAATAAAATAATTCAATGGAATTAAAAACAACTACATTGTTTTGGTCACACGTGAGTCAATTGAATGGCCAGTGCTGCACAGCTTAGCCCTGTAGGAGCAGTACAAGAAGAACAGACGGAAACACTGCACATGGATTACTGTACTGTACAGATGTCTTAGCTCCTCTCAGAGGATAAAGAATATATGACCACAAACACTTCTACATTGAATCTCTAAATGCGTTGCTGCTCCGTTTATGCGAAAATATTAATTAATGATGACTGACGATGACGGACTGCGGATTTCACCGCTGGCGAATGACGGAAGTTCACTGATGTGCCTATCACTGGGTATATGTCCATTTCCCATTACATGATAGTGTCAGCATTAAGCTAGCAGACTAAAAGTCACTGACATATTCTATCTGGAAAAACTTTAATATCTTGGGTCACTCGTATCTCAAGGTCCCAGTTTATCCTGTTAATACCCATAAAAACGTCCGTTGAACATGGATCATGATCGATGAACTGTTGTATAGCGGGGGAACACTGTAGATTTCCCCCCAGATAGTGCCTTCTCTCAGGACTTCCTGATCTGAGGTACTTTCTTTTTTCGTCATGACTCTCTCGTCTACTGCAGCCTTACGCACTCCCGCCTCTGCTTATCACGGCGGGATCGCTTCGACTGACAGACTTATTGGACCACTTGTGGTTGAGGGAAGAGGAGGTGAAGGAGGGTCGTGACAGAAGGTCCCCGGGAAGGGGATAGCGGTGATGACGGTAGTCATGAGAAATTGCCGGCTTGCTTTGTGAGGTTATGGAGACTCCAAAACAGCAATTTTGACTATTATGTGTGGAGATCGAACAGATATTCCCAGACACGTACATGTACCATTTTCAGTGGCCAGCAGGTAGTAGGATGTCGGTCTGCTTGTTTGGAACCAGATAACAGCGGATCTATTACTCACCGGAAGCGGCGGTCTGATCTCCACATTGATAGAGACGCTTGTTCACTGTCTGAGGGCCATCCAGCCAGCCTGGCAGGCAAAGTAGCCATTGGCATGGAGCTGAAGAGCTTCACAAAGCAACGGGGCAAAGGAGAACGGCCCCCTCTGTTGTTCGAGAGCCATCAAACATGAACTGCAGACGGAACTGTCATCCCACTTTTAACCTTAAATGAGTCAGGACTTGTGAAAGTGTGACATCCATCCTCATTTGCCCTCAATTACTCACATTAGCTTGAGTGTGAACGCGTGAACTCCACCAATTTTCAGCGCCGTCAAGAAATGCGGCAAATTTGCTTTTTGTCAAATCAAAGCACCCACCGAATTAAATGTGAGTGTTATTTGTCCACCGTTAGCATCTTATGCTAAATGTCTGGAGATGGTTTTCCATGAGACAGCACTGGCTTTGTGAGGGTCGGTCAAATTTCCTTCAAAGCAGAATAAATGTCCGACAACAAAAAGATGGGGTTGATTTTTGGGATTGATTATATTCTGCTAAATATCAGAATCAGCATCGGACTCAAAAAAGAAAATGTATTTATCAATCGGGCCCTATATTACACAACAGACATCAGAACTGAGCCACAGCAACAGGGTGCGCTCGCGAAAACCTAAAGGCAGCCAGAAGACAGATCACTGCAGCAAAATGGAGACTGTGAAGTATAATACTGCAGCGTTTAGAGCTACAGTAAGGCACAGCAACGGGATTAGACGTGTCTTATTCATGAGGAGACTTGTGGCAGACGAAAAAAAAGTCTGCTGCAGAAAAGTGGAGAGTGCGGAGTATAATACTGCAACGTCCAGTGCTAAGACATGGCAACCGGGTTAGCTGTGTGTCATTTAAAAGGAAGCTGAGGGCATTAAAAAAAAAAAAAAAAAAAGGCAGTCACTCAGTTGGAGCGAAATGGAGACTATGGGCATGTCATGCTGCGATGTCCATAGGTGAGACAGAACAACAGGCTAAAATAACATCAGCATGTGTGATATTTGGAAGGAGATTGAGGGCAGCAATCAAAGGGTCCGATGCAGCAAAGTGGAGACTGTGGAGTATAATCCTGCGAAGTCCAGGAGTAAGTTACAACGACAGTGTTAGCTATCTTTGGCATATGTGTGTTTTTTTTTAAAAACATGACATGAGTCCAAGGGAATCAAGAAAACGGTCTGCTGCAGCAAAATAGAGACTGTGGAGTACAGAAAAATCCCGCAGCATCAAGAAGTAAACCAGTGCATCAGGGTACACAAATGTCCCTCTCATTGTTTCTGGGCATGGTTGTACGTGATTGTTGTAATGTCCTTTTTTTTTTTTTTTTTTTTATGCCGGCGAGGGGACGAAGACGATAACGGTGGACAACAGAGCTCTGTCTGACGGCATCTCACTTTTCGTTTTGCGTCTCTTCCTCATTTTCATTTTTCCTCTCATTCTCTCTCGCTCGCTTTCCCTCCGCCACCCCGGCCATGCTGTTGATTGACGGCCTGAGGGTTTTAATGGGCACTGGAGTGCAGGAGCTGAGGTCGGGGTTGTCATGGCAACTAGGAGAAGGGGGCCTTTTGCTGCTGCTACTGCTGCTGCTGCTGCTTCACCTGCGTGGTGTGTGGAGCCTTGCACTCTTCTTGCACGTAAAAATCAAATTGTGAACGTCTTGACCCTTTAAGTCCTCTTTGGAGGCAGAAATGGGCACTTTTTTTTTTTTTTTTTGGCTACACTCTTTTCCCAGTTGATTTCTATCCTTCTGTTATAGATCATACTCCCTGGTATTTTCGCTGTGTTTTTAAAGCAGCCTTCCTCCGTCCAGTCGTCATTTCCCCCCCAAAACCGCCAGAAATTAGGCGTTTTATTAGGGCCGGGTCAAGATTAGCGGGGTGTCACGTCTTGAGCTATTTTCGAAAGCGAACATGAAACAAAGTGACTCATTCCATTGAAGCAAATCCCCAAGAAAAAAAATCTGTTTTTGCCTTTCTCGGATGTCACGACAGGTCCAAGACAAACCTGTGAAAAACATAGCCGGACGTGCCTCAATAGCCTGTACAATTGAGACAAATAGGACAGGACAGTATGACCCAATATAAACAAAGTCAGAAAGTGATGAAACCCACGTGAGGAAGGTTCCCAAAACTGTGAGAAGATTCATGTTTGTGTTCTCACAAAATCCAAGGCCGGTGTATAAATAAATTGGCCAACCGATTATTTAATAAAATGGGTGAATACAAAATAGATTCAAACGGAATGAATACCATTTAGATGAACTAATTTCAGGGAATCATTTAAACGAGTTTAATTCCTCAAATTTTACAGGACCTTTGACAATGAAGTAGTAAATCACGGGTCACCAACCTTTTTGAACATGAGAGCTATTTCCTCGGCGCTGATTAATGGGAAGGGCTGCCAGTTTGAGGCACGCTTAAAATACGAAATTTGCTCAAATGACCTTTAATTAAGGTATCATTAATAACGGATGATATTCTCCTTTATGAAGATGCCAATCATGATTTAACAAGGTAGGAAATAGACGAATGTCAATATGCAACACTTTCTTTTCTTTTTTTGGTAGAAATCTGTTTCCATTTTCAAATGATGATACGTTTCCAGGAAATTACAATGTCCCATCACTGGTGAGTTATTTTCAGAGCAGGTCCGCGGGCGAAAGAACGGAGGGTTGTGATTTCCACTGCAAGGTCATTTCTTTATTGTCGTATCATACCCATAGATGATTGGCGTAGTTGTTCCATGGCTCAATATCTGCTCCCTGTGTTGTTTTCCAGAGTGCGGCCGCAGCCCCCAGTCCAGTGATGGGCAACATGCCGCCCAACGATGGCATGCCGGGAGGACCCATGCCTCCAGGTTTTTTTCAAGTAAGAACCCGAAATAAAATTCCCTCAGATTTTTTTTTCCCCATTCAAGCTTTGCATTGGACATCTACTTTCAGCCTCCAGGTTTTTTTCAAGTAAGAACCCGAAATAAATTTCCCTCTGATTTTTTTCCCCCATTCAAGCTTTGCATTGGACATCTACTTTCAATCACGCAGCACTTACATTCTGCTTTTACGTGTTTCTATTTCTCCAAATCACATTCTGCGACACAAATTGCATTGTCTTCGTTGTACACTTTTAAAACTGCTGCGTTCACAGTAAACCCAAATTGGGTGAAATCGCAAACTCAGCGGTGGGACCAAAAGGGATCGCGTCAATGCTGGGTTATTTCTATGCGGCCACATTGGGGTGAGGATTTGACCCAACACTTGGGGTCACGATTTCGATCCCGCAAGGGGTAAAATCTACACATACTGGTGAGTTAACGCCACCAAGAACTGGATTACCAGGTTATCAGTACAGCTATGATTCACCCTTTCATGCACCCTGTAACCTGATAACATGATAAGCTGTCCCTGAAAGGGTTAAAAATAATCCGATTTTTGTGAGCAACATTTTTTATTAAGATGAAGAAGCTTTGCTCTGTCAGGGATCACCACACCCAGTCAATTTGTTGAGCCCAGTTTTTTTTACACCTGGCACAACCCACCTATTTTTCACCAGCAGGCTGACTACCCAAACCAGGATTTGAACCCTGATCCCTGTGTCCAAATTCAGCAGTCTTACCCACTGAGTCATCCAGTCACTTCAAAAATGTAGTCACCAGCTTCATATCTTTATCCCAGCCAAATACAATTTTTTTGTTTTTTTTTTCAGCTTAATCGACCGGGTCAAAAATAATTAACCCAACCTTGGGTAGAAGTAACCCAATCTGTTCATGATCCGCAGCTACTCAGCGAGTGAGTTAGAAAGCAACACTGTATTTTTTTGTGTGTATTTGTATTCCCCCCCCCCCCCCTGTCATTTCTGAAATGGTCAAATTCGAAAACATTGTACACCATAGGTGTGAAAGTCAAGGCCCGGGGCCAGATCTGGCCCGCCGCATCATTTTATGTGGCCCGCGAAAGCAAATCAAGCATGTCAATTTCCATGATGCTTGCTAGAGTCTGAAACAAAATGTCAAATTGTCATATGTAATCCATAACAACAATATTTGAACAAGCCATTATTCTTGACTTCTGATTTCAAAACAGGTTATCCATCATTTTGCTGTTCGCTGTGTATGTAATATGTGGAGGTGGTTAAACATTTTGGCTTGACAAAATTCACAATCATAACGGCCCTCCAAGGGAACCCTGTTGCACACCATTTAAGCTTGAGTATTTGCTTCTTCAGACATGTCTTTTGATTGTCATGATTTTTCGACTGAATCATTCCAATGCCTTTGTATATACAATTTTATTAAACTGTCAGCTCTTCAGCATTCATTTCTTTGGCAAATGTTATTTTCACGTTATGTGCAGTTTGTATGTAAGACTCCAATCCACCAATGACAAAAACCTCCTCCCCCTCCCCTGACCACCTTTAAACCCATCTTTCTGTCTCCTCATCCTCTTTTTTTTTTTTTTTTTTTTAGCCTCTTTAGCTGCCCTAATCCCTGTCCAGATGTGCGCCCTGCTCTGTCCCACCGCCCCCCGCCCATATGTCACACGGCCGGCTTGTTGACTCCTTGTGCACTTTGTAGCCTTTTCTCCTCGCTTTGTAGCCCAACTAACCATGGCAGCCTCGAAGTGTGTCAGGGAAGGTGGAAAGAGAGGAGACTGTTCTCCCCAGTTTGCTTTGCTTCACTAATTCCTCCTGTCATCGCTGTTCTCTGAAGGCTGTCTACAGGGGTCTCAGTTTGCACACACGCAAGCCTTTTACGGCACAGTTTACTGTGACCCACATCCAACTAGTTTGAAATTGGGAGGTTTTGTCATAGCCTCTATATCTTTGAAAGAAGGCATCCTGGCTAAACGTGACTTAACAAACAAAACAGAGATGAGCTTTATGATGGCATGTAGATGAGAATTCATATTTCATTGCTGTTTTTCTCGTGGTGGTGTCCTTGAGCACAACTTTATTGGCTTTGTCAGGAATGAAGCATGATGGTGCGCGCAGACTGTCGTGTCGTAAATGAAATATATTGTAGGTGTACACTACTGTTGAAACATTTGGGGTCACCCAGATAATATTAGCTTTCAAGGAAAACATACCGTTGTATGTACAATTAACCCTTTCACGCCCCCTGTAACCTGACATGATAAGCTGTTCACTGTAGTAACCGCTGTCCCTGAAAGGGTTAAAAAGTTTTGACGTTCACTCGCAAATGGAATCTGCCGTTGGAATCCTGAACTTTAAAGTAAGTTATTTTAAAATAAAAAGGAAAACCTTTCCTTCAGCTGACGTGGCTGCATTCGCGTGTCAGTGTACATGTGTGATTCGAGGCTCGCTGGTTAAATGGTAGGTGAATAGCGAACGCGCGTTTTGGCTGCAAATCCAATCTCTAGACCAGGGGGTCACTAACATGATGTCCGTAGCTCTCAGTTTAAAAAATGTTGGTGATCTCTGGTCTTCACTTTTTCCATTCATGGAATGCTATCATCATTGAATAAAACTGCTTTTCATTGATTGTGACGCCAAACTGTAGAGATGGATGGATGGATACAGGACGTGGATATCAATTATATAAATATAAATTCAATTGAGAGTAAAATTAATGACAATGAATGTCCATTTTTGTCAGAAAAGTTTACCGTGTGCAACGCAGCCATTTGCATGCATGTCCATGTGCGCAAGGATGAGATGTGCGTGCGTGTCAGGGTCGCGCAGAATGTTAATGTTGTATGAGCAGCGCGCAGGCAGGGGGGAAAGCTATCTGGTGGTGTTGCGTGAGTGACACGCCGTGCCATAAATAGACCTTGTGCGCATGACAGACAGACAGGCGGACAGACAGAATGGCAGAGGGGATGCAGGGAGTAACAAGAGGAATGGAGCATGACCGCATTCTTCACCGTCTTCGGTCGAGAACATGCAGTGAAAACGGCAAATACATGATGTGCACATGCGTTTGACCTGCGGTTTGTCGGATAACACTGCATGCGCATTGTATTCATTTCTCCCTACTTTTGATTATTGTTTTTTATTGTCACATTTCATTTCATTTTGACAGCACGTCAGCTCAACAACAGCTCTTACGCATTCGATTTCTTCAACAATTGCATTCTCTTGTCTTCATTTTTTTCGAGTTCCATTTTTGTTTGCAACTATGCAAAGCTCCGTGAGTGACACTGACTCGAACGCATGGCTGAAGTTGAACGTGGGTGGCTTTTTTTACATGACGTTTGCCATTCTTTACATGAACTGCATCATCTTTTGAAACCCCTGCCACAGTATGGCTTTTGCCACGAGTGCTTCTAATTAACCGGCAGGTAAACACGCTCATTTACCTACGCTGAGCTGACGTCAAATCCAAAGTGATGCAACACCGCCATCCGCTGGCGTATGTTTGTCACTACAGTTACGTGGATGCTTAAATACAACAGACAAGCTGGGCGAGACCCTCTTCTCCACCCACCTGTTGAAAATCCTCCTTGATGAAAATAGCGATTATACTATTAGCCAATGAGTTCAATTGTTTTGGAATAGCTTTTTAAAAAATGATTTTGATTGTTATTCATCTTTTCTGTCATCTCTCAATTGCCAACAGCATTCCGGTTAGCGTCAGGTCCTCAGAATTGCATCATATTGTCATTATTGCATTCAGAAGTGTGGCCCTGTGATGAATTAAAAATCGAATATTGAAGCAAAATTGGTCATTTTGGTAATCCCCGTGACCTGTATCGGCCGATAACACTCATGGATGACAGGTATCGGTATCTTAAAACCCTGATCGGAGCAACTCTAGTGGTTATCTGGGTTGCTATGTGGTTATTTTGCTGTTTGCGTCAAAGCCTTTTGTTGTTGAGTTAGGATAGTGGATTTTATATACATGTCTTGTAAAATGTATTTTCAAAAACGAAATCTATTTGAAATGTGTGTTTGGCAGATATGCATGCATTTTGATATACATCTTGTTAAAAAGTGCGTGATCCGACGTGGCCCCCCGCAAGTCGCACGGATGAAAAATTTTGCATGCAAGTTGCCCATCCCTGTCTTAGATGTACAGTTTGTATGTAAAATTGTGCTTCAAAAAAAAAAAAAAAAAAGATACACATTTGGGTATCAGTACAAAATCACCCAAGAGACAATTGGTCTGAAAGGAGAGCTATAGTGTCACACGCTTGAAGCAAACGCAGGTGAAATGCTCCCTGCCCCTTCTTGAAAATTACCCCCACACACTACGACTGTGCGATACTTTGAGTATGACATAGCTGAAACTGGAGCTGAAAGCGTACACGCCGCATTCCTGGCGAGCTGACATTCACTCCCCTGCTCAACTAATGGCTACTGCGGTTGCCAGCCTTTCGCACAACTCTCGCTTTTGAAAGGGGAAGATTTTTTTCATCTTATTCTTGTGAAACTCTCACTCTATTTGTCGAACAATGGGATGCGAAGCGACGCTTCTTTTCTCACACACGCCGCTCCGGCGACACGCGCTCACTCGCAGACCTGTGAACAGTTTTCTTATTTGCCTTCCCTGCTGTGCTAGCGAGGTAATTAACACGGGTGACCCTAACTTTGTTTGCGAGAGAGGCAAGGGTGAGGGGCAGAGGTGGTACGAGCCCCCCCCCCTGCTGCATGCAAACGGGAGATAGATGAGATGCGCAAACAGAAAACGGTGCGAGGGTCCAAACAGTGTACACGTCAGGTATATAAGCCCCCTCCCCTCACAGGCAAAAGTCCATCACTGCTGCATCACGGCCCTCTGGGGAGGACAGGCAGAGGGGAGATGGCGGGGAGGGGTGAGCGAATTAATGATAGCAGCAAGAGGAGGAGGAATAGAGCACACAAAGGCATCGGGAGACTCTTTCACCAGTGTTTTTTTTTTTTTTGGAGGCAGA